TATTGTAGAGCAAGAGGGTCCTAAAAATGCCTGTAAAATCTCAAAATAACACGCAAAAAACTGGAGACCCCTAAAAATATCCACTCTATTTATAGAGAAATGAGTAAGTCTGTTTTTTCTTGAAATAAATGCATTTTCCTTTGATTTGAGTAGGTAGGAGGAAAATTTTCCCAATGGGAACAGCTGATTTAGGATTAAAATATTAAAGGAAAAGTCTGGTTAGCAAGGAATAACCAATGAATCATTATTTATAACTAAAACTAATTGTTTGCGGTGATTTAATGAATTTAGTGTTAATCAAAAAACAATGAAAACAGTAATTTTGTCCTGTTTGCCAATGTGGCAATAAGAATAATTGTCTTGATGCCAAAAAATAGCCAACAGATTTTGCTATAATACAATAATTTTCTTCGCAATCACAGAGTCTGGGAGCGGCCATTTTTTGCCCAAATATAGTAACACCTCACTTCTGACATCTTCCGGAAGTGACGTCACGGTGCGGTAAGCCTAGCGCCATTCTTCCCGCTTTATGAGCAAAATCAATGGGAGCTACTAGAAACATCTGCAATCAAAAACATTTAAGATTTCCAGAGGGCTTGACTATTGAAATTCACCAGAGCTACAGTTAAACTGACAATGCCCACGTGCATGTTAGTTGGATGTTGTTATACATCGGGTAAAAGTGAAAAAAAAAAAGGTTATCTCTCCTTTCCGATTCATGATTCTCCACGGACTGGTTCGTCATTGGATTGCCAACTTGAAGAGGGATGATTTGCTATCGAACTTCTGGCCAGAGAAAAAACACGTAATATGGAGCCAACATTTAAAAAAAGAATGTTTTCAAGATGACTTGGATAATAGCGCGTTGTGACAAACACCAGATACAGCACTGGGACTTGCTCAATAGCCGATAACGCACCGTGACATCACAAACCAGTAGGTGGCAGTAGTGTTCTTTGACAAACATGGATGTCTCCAGTAAAGCACATTCAAATGAAACTACTCCTAATAAAAAAACACGTATCATTTATTGAGCAGTATGTAATGACATATTTAATATTTCATATTTAATTCATATTTAAAGTACTTTCAGAAGTTTGAATTCTGAATATGACCGGACTTTTCCTTTAAAAAAAAAAAAGCTATCCTATTATCTTATATTGAGTTTCTTACTTACTTTTACTATCATTTTTGCAGTGTAAACATCCAAAGTAATTCTTTTCATTTTAGAATATATTTGTATATATTTAAATTGACATTAAATAATTTATTTCATAACTTGAAATGTCTTAACTACTTTAAAGGATATCTAATACATTTACAATCCAAAACAGTTGTTAGTATGGCGTCAGAATGCTGCCAAAAGTGCACAACGGTAATGAATATTCTTCTGAGTAGTTTAATTTAAAATACACAAAACCACTCTGAGAAGGCAAACTGCCTGCGATTGGTTACTTTCAGTGAATAAATGCATCACAGAGCTCAGCAGTGCGAGCTCTGTGTTCTGGTTGAGAGGCTCAATGCTGAGGAGTTATGGACTTTTCTTTAAACTTTAGTCATACTGATATGCTCATCTCATATTAGGGTCTTCACTTCAAGTCCTGGAGGTCCCTGTCCTTTAAGATTTGTCTCCACTTCAGAAACACCTGAATCTAATGATTAGGTCAATAAATAATCAATAATCTCTGGGGAACCTTGTGTGCATACTGAGGAGGTATTTCTGTGATTTTAGTCAGGCGTTAAAACAGAGAAGCATCTAAAAGGAGCAGGACACTGGACCACGAGGACATCTTTATCAGCTGTAGAGAACTGATTTCACAGAACCTTACATTAAACAATTTTTTAAAACCTATCAGATCAGGATCAGCAAACCTTTAAAAATAAAAATTTTTAAAGCTGACTAATAGTATTTATTACATAAATGATGAAGAACCATATATATATATATATATATATATATATATATATATATATATATGAGACAGCAGACTGCATGTGTTTGAGCTTGTTATTTTGCCTTCTGCAATTTCCAGCTCGGCTCAACAGGAAGGGTTTATTTTAGAGCTTATAACAGATGTCCAATTATTATTTGCAAAAGGTGCTCATGGATGTAAAAGCTGTTTTTCTCTGTAAAGGTAATTAGAAATGGAGTTGGTCACAATTAAGAAAGGGGGGCAGACACATGTTTCTGGGTTGAAATGAAACTCAGTGTCTGTAGTGTTGTGCTGCAGAAAGCTCTCCACAGTTGATTTTTCCACAGAGGAAAAGCTTTCCTCTTTAACAGGAGACAAGAGCGTCTCTTTTCCTGTGAGCAGCTCCACTACACAGCTTAAAAGAGCCGAGAGAAGAATCCACTGAATCATCCATGACGGGAAACATTTCGGTTTCTAGGTCTTCATCAGGTTTTCCAACAACAGCTGCTATTTTTTTATATATATACATATAACCTTGAAGAAGTAAAGGCTTCCTGAAAATGTGTTTTATAATTTTTCCGTCGTGTGGCAGGTCTGATGCAACATATATAAGAACATTTAAAAGTATAAAACATGTTAAAAAATAATACAATTACATCAATAAATTAGTTCAAGACAAGGAAATTAGCCCAACGCAGTACTCAATGTAAATGTAATGTAAAATGTGAATGTAGGAGAATCATGTGGTGTTATGTCACTCGCAAATATCTCAAATTTGGGGGATATTTTTCATAATCTGCCCGAATTTTAGCCAATTCCTTCAAACCAAACGTATTATTTGTATTTTTGGTAAATACCGGTACATATAACATCTTAAGATTTTGCATTGAGATTATATATTTTAAAGGTGAAACGTGTTATCTTTTCTAATGTGCACCAACACCTACACAGCAACACACTGCTACTACTGTTACTTCTGTCATTATGGCCAAAGACTTTATTTGTTCAATTCAGCCAACAGGCCGTGTCTCCAAAACTCAAGGTATTGAGTGCTGTAACCTGTCATTGTTATGTCTTATCAATAGAATATATACTACTACTAATTGATAAAATACTTTTACCATATTACTATGTTTTCTATTATTTTACTGAGAAAACAGGAAATATTGTAGATACAATTTTTGAGCAGTGACCTGGAGAGAAACGGTTTCCTTTTAATATTTTTTTTAGCTTTTTCATCCATCCAACCATCTATGCATCCATCATCCATCCATCCATCCATTATCCATCTATCACTCCATTCTCTATTCATTGATTCATCCCACCATCTATACATCCTTCATCCATCCATCAATCCATCTTTTATCAGTCAATCCATCCATCATCATCCATCCATCCTTCATCATCCATCCATCATTATCCACCCATCCATCCATCATCATCCATCCATCCTTCATCATCCATCCATCATTATCCACCCATCCATCCATCATCATCCATCATCATCCATCATTCAT